TTCTAAACTCCTTATCCAGAAGCAAACTCCTCCTCCTTCCAAAGAGCTATAGTGTAAACACTTGAAGGTTTCCTTGCCTCAAGTACCACACCACGTTGAAGGATACAACTTTTGATCAAACTTCTTGATTAAAAGGGGGTAGGTCAACTTTCTTACAAGTTGATCTTGCAAGTCCTATTGTTCGGACGTTGCAGTTGTTGAAGAAGCGTGACCTTCGAAGGAACAACAAAGCCAGCACGAGTGCAGTAGCAACATTGGCCTTGCGAAGATATACCGTGCAGAAATTCACACAAGTGTAATTGTTGGTTCATTATTCAACAACCAACTACATAGTGGATTTTGAGGACGTAGAAGGATTACCCCACCTTCGAACCTTGTTAAAGTTTGCGTGTCTCTCTCTTTTATCTTCACTCTTACTTGCAATTATATTAACTGTGAAAACTAACCCATCCATATTGATTACTGCTCACTCTATCCACCAAATTCCGCACACAATCTAAAGTTCACAAGAACTCTAGATTAACACTTATTTTCACGTTTTCAAAAGAAACGAAAAAGATTTTAAATCTGTAACAAAGTCTATTCACCCCCCCCCTCTAGACTTTGTATTTCACCACTTTGGGACCACCTGACCGGCAGAGAGAGGAGGTAAGATTTCAGAGATTCAGAGGATTGTTGGCAGTCTTCCGTCCACACGAATCCCCGAGACTTCTTCACAGCTTGGAAGAAGGGAGCGGCTCGGTCTGCCACTTTGGAGAGGAAACGGCTGAGCGCCGCCAACTTCCCGGTCACGCGCTGCACCTCCCTGACATTTCCCGGAGCCTCCATGTCAAGGATGGCGCACACCTTCTCGGGGTTAAGCTCGATGACGCGCCTGCTCACCATGTGTCCCAAGAACTTACCGCCTTGGACTCCGAACGTGCACTTCTTAGGGTTCAGCCGAAGGTTGTACTTCTCCATAATCTTAAAAACTCCTTCTAAGTCTTCCGCATGGGTGGCCGCCTGCTTGCTCTTCACAATCATGTCGTTCGACGTACGCTTCCATGCTCTTCCCGAGGACAGGCGCGAAGAGCTTGCTCACCATCCTAGCGTTGGTCGCCTCGACATTTTTGAGTCCAAAGGGCATCACTTTGTAACAATAAACTCCGCCGGGGGTAGTGAAAGACGTCTTCTCTTCGTCTTTAAGGTGCATTCGGATTTGGTGGTACCCGCTGAAGGCGTCCATGAAACTCATAAGCTCGCAACCCGCCGTCTCGTCTACAAGCTGGTCGATGTTCGGGAGTGGGAATGGATCCATTGGGCATGCTTTGTTTAGGTCGGTGTAGTCCACGCACATCCTCCAAGTGTTTCCCTTTGGAGCCAACACTACGTTCGCCATCCACTCCGGGTACTTAACTTCTCTTATATGTCCAATGCTCTGGAGGGTGGCCACTTCCTTGGAGACAAACTCCCTCCGTTCGGACGAAAGGAATCGCTTCTTCTGTTTCACCGGCCTAGACTCCGAATTGACTGCCAAGCGGTGACATATGATCTTGGGGTCCACCCCCGGCATATCCCCGGGTCCCCATGCAAAGATTGTGCGGTAGGCGGCGAGCACGTCCACCAAGCGTTTCCGCTAGCTCCCTGTTAGGCTCACCCCAACCTTAACCTTCCGCTCAGGCACCCGCGGGTCGAGCGGCACTTCCTCGACTTCCTCAGCGGGCTCGGCCTTTGGTCGTGCTTCCAACTTGCGCATTTCCTCCTGCGCGTGCACGACCAGCATTTCATCCCTCGGCAACTTCTTCGTGATTTGGACGTAGCATGACCGAGCTAACTTCTGGTCTCCCCTCGCCACCCCGATCCCGGACGGAGTGGGGAACTTCATGCATAAGTAGTGCGGGGAGATCACACATTCCAAGTCCTCAAGGCCGGGCCGTCCTAGGATCATGTTGTGCGTGCAATTGATGCTTACAACCATGAACTCCATCTTCAACTTGGCCTTGTGCGCACCATCCCCGACTATCACGGGCACGGCGATGACTCCCTCGGCCTCGATGGAGTCCCCCGTGAATTTGGAGAGAGGAGTGCACATAGGCTTTAAGTCCTTGCGGTTCAAGCCGAGGTCTTGGAATGTTTTCTCATACATTATATTGACTGAGCTTCCCGTGTCCACCAAGGTACGGTGCACTATGGCGTCGTTGATCTCTATCTGCACAACTAAGCATCCCGGTGGGGCCTCGGCGTGTTCGGAAGATCCTTCTCGGTGAATTGGATCTGCTCTCGTCTTCCAAGCTTGGGCGCCGGCGCCTGATTGACTTTGGCGACGAAGGCCATGTGCTTCCACCTCTTCCTTTGAGCGACAGAGTCCCCGCCAATGTTTCCCCCATGGATAAATCCCACCGGATATCCTTGGGCTTCGTCTTCGTCTAGATCGTCGCACTCCCGCCCGATGTGCCTCTTCTCAGGGTTCCTTGCCTGCGTCGCCACTGCGACCGGCTCAGTCGGCTTCCTCCACGTTCTCCCTTCCGGCGGACCCCGGGAAGGGGCTGCTCCATCGTCTCGCGGAGCCGGCCCTCGGGCGATGAGCCGCTGCATTTCCTTCTGAAGAGTGAAGCATTCCTTAGTGTTATGAGTGTTGTTGCGATGATACTCGCAATACTTGGCTCCGCTGGACACCGCGTAGGCCTCTACGTGAGGGAGCGGGGAGGGGGCAAGCTCTCGACCCATCCCCAGGGGGCGCCCACGGAATACACTCCGGCCGAGGGCGTCCTCGGGCCCGCGATGTAGTCTTTCTTCTTCTTCCTCTTTTTCGCGGTCTCACTCAAGTCCGCTGGAGCACGCTGAGCTGGCGCGGCCTCGGAGTCTGGGGCGTCGTCAAACTCCTCCGAGGCCATGAACTTAGCGCGTGCCAAGGTTTCTTGGTACGTGGGGGGAGGATTCTTGCGGAGCTCCTTCCTCACCTCTCCGCGGGGAAGAGCTGCTTGGAACATGGCCACCAAAGCTTGGTCATCCGCCCCGTGCACGTATTTAGCCTCCTTCTCCCACCGGACTATGAAGTCGCGGACCTTCTCTCCCTTGCAGATGCATATGTTGAGCAGGTGGGAGTAAGGTAGCCTCTGCCTTTGGTTGGCCGCGAAATGCGTCAAGAACTTCTCCGCTAGCGTATCCCAATCGTCAATGGTTCCCTTCGGGAGCCGGTTGAACCAATCGCACGCGGAGCCCTCTAGCGTCGCGAGAAAGCATCGGCACTTTACCTCGTCTGGGGCTGCCGTCGCTTCCATGGAAGCGTAGAACTTAGACAAATGATCTTGGGGGTCCGTCGTTCCATTGTAGGCCTTGATCTACCACGGCCGGAAGTTTGCCAGCAGCGGAATCGACATAACCCTCGGAGTGAATGGGGTTACCGTTCGCAATATGGGCTGGCTGTAGGGAGCCCTTGTCTCCACTCGGCGCTTGAGCTCGGCAATCTCACGAGCGAGCCGAGATACCCCTTGGTCCGAGGCCTTTGTCTTTTCAGTTCTTGTTGGACTATGGCGACGTTGGGTGCGCTCGTCCCGCCTTTCTCCGCTCCGCTCAGGCCTCGCCGAGCGAGCATCCGATGTCGCGGACTCCTCAGCATGCCTTCGCCTGCCTTGGGATATTTGTCGGCAGAGGTCGCCCGGGTGGTCTTCCGGTCCGCGGTCGAGCCTATCGAAGGTCGATATCCGGGTCTCTTCACCTCCTACGCGCTTGAAGGCCGACACTCGGCACTCGCTGGACTCATCGTCTTCCCCTTCGAGAACGTCCTCCACTATCACCTCCTCGAACACCTGGGCTTTGCCGGGCCTCCTTCTACTCCTCTGGGTCTTCTTCTCCTTGTGCTGGGAAGTGGCAGCGTGTTCGGCGTGGGGACCGGGCGGAGCTTTTCCAGCTCCGGCGCCGGGCACGTTTCCACCCATGGCGGAATGTGCCGCAACGGCCGCCTGAAGCTGCTCCGTGGTCACCCCCAAGCCAGCGCCTGGACCGCGTCCGGAGTCGAACCGATGCCACCCGTGCCGTTGCCGTTGCCCGGGGCGTTCTCCTCGCCGCCGACGTGGCTGGTGGTAGGGACGTTGCTCCTTGTTTGCACCATTCTCGCTTCCGGGAATTAACCTACGAGTATGTTCCTCAGCTCTCAATGAAAGCACCAATTTGATGGCTATAAACCACCGAGAGTATGAAATTATATAAGTTTTAGAGAGAGAATGCAAAGTAGGAGTATATTTGTTCTAAACTTGGATCCATTACAACGAGGGGTCTCGCCCCTTTTATAGGGGATACAATACACATAGTCAAAGTTCTCTGATCGAGGTTCGTCGCCTAGCGGACGTCATCTCTGTCATGAGTTGTCCTTTTCATCTCGTCGCTATCGTGCAGTCAACGCAGCCGGTCGCTTTCTTCCCATCGCTGTCACGCTGCCTAGCCGAGCTCACAGGCCGAGCCGAGCCCGCAGACGAGCCGAGCTCATAGGCCGAGCAGAAAGCTCTCCCACGTGGCTGATGGGGTCCGGCTGACATGTCTCTTGGAGTCATCCTCCATCAATAAATAATAATTAAACATTCATAATCATGTTACATAAACAAATCCACAATTGGCTATGTAAACAAATTAACACTATCTATGATTTCTATGCTAAAACAAAGGGAGAAGAAACAAACTAGGAGTAAAACCATAGTTTTAAAAACCGGACCGGACCGGCCGGTTTGAACCGGGAACCAGTGTACCGGTGCCCAAACCGGTCCGGTCGAACCAGAAGACCGGCCTCAGCTGCGTACCGGTGCAAACCAGTAAAAACCGTCGGTGAACTGGAAATCGGTTTTCTTTTTTGGGAGAGTCTTCCAAAATTGCGCCGTGTAAGGATTCGAAGTATTGATCTCTGGGTCCATATCTTCACCTGCTGACCAGCCGAGCTAGATTCCTCTTGTATCATACATTGCATCAAGTGGTAACATATACCTTTCTTGATTATACATTTTTTTTAAAATGGTTCCTTTTCATAAAACGTTAAAAAAAAATAATATTATAACTATGATTTAAATTTTTAACTACTCCGTATTTCACAAATGCATAGTACATCACAATGAAATATTCAATTTAAATTATTTTTAAATATTTCATAGTATATAATTTTATCAATTTAATTCTACTACTAAAATTAATTAAATTGTTTATAACATTAGTCATATTTCATAAATAACTTATTTTTAAATTAAAGAAGTATTATATATATATATATATATATATATATATATACATATATATATATATATAGGGGTTGGTTCCAATGAGAATGATGCTTGGTGAAAGAAATAAGAATAATTTGTGACTATTAGATTAGAAGCATCCAATGGCTACGATTGAAATTTTTAATAGATGACCGTGTGAGTTTGATAATGGTATGTAATAATTACATTGCATTAAAATAGGGATTGATGGTTAGGAGAGGGCATAATTGGGTTTTCTAATTGCAAAAAATCGTAATTATTTCAAAGAAGAATTCTATCCCACATAATTCGCCGCTTTCCAAGTGTAGCATATCTTTATTTCCTATGAGTTCTTATTTATTTGCTATGAGTTCTATTCAAACGCAACCAGTAGGGATTCGAACAGTTGGTGTGCACCTGTAGGCTGTATTTTATTTTTTCAAAGAGACCTTCACCTTGCATTTGGAACTCTTAAATATGCATTCTCATATTTTATAATAGAGGAGGGGTAACCTTACACCAACTCAATTGGCTTAAGATAATTATACCAGTTTAATTAGGTTACCTACAGTACACTATTCATAAAATTGATTATTTTTACTCCCTAACCTCCTGATAAACCCCTTAACCCGCCCCGTCTCCAATGCATGCCGGCAACCTCGCTAATTTTATTACATCAAATTTGGGTCAATCATTTGATGAGAAAGTCAACAGAATTTGGTGCAATGAAAGTAGTCGAGGGGTGAGGGAGCATTGAGGCTGAGGGCCGGGGCTACGAATTCACCAGGGGTTTAGGGGAGATAGGAACGATCAGTTATACGATTAGAGCATCGTAGATATACTCTATTTGCATTGGTGTAAGAATCTTACACCAATTGAGTTGGTGTAAGATTACCCCCTTAATAGTATGCATAATTCAAGCGTCTCTATGTAACCTATATTCATATGTATCACAAAACATTATAAATGCTTCATCATTTGTAGAAAATTCACCATCTAGAAATTACTAATGCATCATATTTGTGTCTAAAGAATTTCATCATTAGATTTATCAACTTTGATTCTGGGATTGTACAGTAACCGAATGCATTATCCTTTACCTTGATTATGAGAATGCATCATTTTCGTATTGTAATGCATTACCTGGATCCTGATAATGCACGGTAACAGAAAAACAAACAGAAAAGTAAAGAAAAAGAAAGTAAATAAGTTTAGCAATGTACACCAAAAAAAGAAATTTGGAAAAATCAATAAGATGCACACATGAATGGATACATGCGAAAACAAAATGCATCAAAGAAGAAAATTAGTTACATCATGAAAGTCCACAAACAAAAAAAACACGATTAAAAATGCGCAATGAAAAAATAAAATAGATGCCCACATCTTTCTATAAAACAATTTAAGAAAAAATGCATTAGATATACAATATACCAAAAAAAAAAGATAAACACTAGAACTTTAAAAATGCAATTAAATGAATTAGATGCATCATTCTTGTAGATAAAAACACTGAACCTTTAAACCCAATATGCAATACATTAACCACATAATGCATTACAATAACCATAAGATGTATTACAATAAGCTAAATCAGATTTATAGCTCTCAAAAATATTCCTAATTCTAAAAAATCAAATTGTCCCAACTTGAATACCGAATCAGAATTACACGTCTAAAAATCCAAATTGGCCCTGTTTTAGAACTTTAAACCCAATATGCATTACATTAACCACATAGCGTATTAAAACAACCACAAGATGCATTTCAATAAGATCAAACAAATTTATAGCTCTGATAAATCTCCATAACTCTGAAAAGTTCACATATCCCTTCTTTGAAACTAAATCAGAATTACAACTCTAAAAATCCAATGTTAACCATGTTCATTGTTGGTTAAATGGAGCAATTACATAAGAAGTCATACGTATTGGTCCAAAATGTTGAAATACATCCCACCGTTAGTACAATTTCAGTAGGGCAATCTAGAATCCAGTAGAGATGGAAAATGAAGCTTTATTCCTAAAGGAGATGGAAATTAGTTGTTCTGGCAGTTGCTCTTAATCCATGACCCATGTTTGGGATCTAACTTGCACATATCTTCACCTTGTTCAATTTAAATCAAAAAAGGAAAAAATTAGAAAGAAAAAAAATTAACCACAAAAATTGATGAGAAAATCTTGTGCCATAGTCCATTGATGAATTCCTGGCTAATTAGCGTATACTTAATGAATTCATACGCATAGTCCATTATAGTGACTTCATGTGATTACAAAACATTTGCTAAAAATGGGGAAAAATGAAAGTGGATAATGGGACCTGTAAAAACATGATTGAATGCATTATATTGCTACAAAACCGAAGGGCATAAAAGTTAAAGCAACAGGAAATACCAATTCAGCAAAAATAAAGTAATAATAAGTGAATCTAAACATCTTTAAAAAGGTGAATAAGCACATGAGTGTGGAGATAATGAACCAACAATGAACTATCCTTGGCATTTTCATGTCTACGTATGAACCCTAATTTGAATAAAAACATGTATAAAACTAATACATAATAAGCAAATAAAAACGTAATCATAGATTGGAATGAGATTTCTCATAGATGCTTTGCATCGCAAAATAAAAGCAAACAACTAAGATCATACCAGAGTCATAAAAAAATTTCTGAAGGGATGATTAAGACTCCGATAATGATAAATTAAGTTAGTCCCATCTACAATTTAGTTGAAGAGGGGATTGGGTGCAAGAAATTTGGTTAGGTAGACAAAATGGGGGAAAATTTAACGCTGATATTACGGAATTGATCGGAAGATTTGACGGAGAGAAACATGTAGAATTGAAAAATATCAATTTGCCCATGGTAAAGATATTTGTAACTAGATCAAGACTGCTACATCCAACGGTGGTAATCTATTCTTATTTCTTTCATTAGATTTCATTTTATTTGAACCAAACTCTATATATATATATATATATATATATATATATATATATATATATATATATATATATATATATATATATATATATATATATATATATATATATATATATATATATATATATATATATATATATATATATATATATAAAATACCCTTTTTTATTGCCAAAGGTCTTTCAAATTTGGAGGTTCTTCTCTGCTGTTTTTAATGGCCCTAATCCTAATAGGGAAGAAACCCTACACGAAACATGTATGAAATGGTGGGTATGCACGCCTAGGACTAAGCTGTAAGATAAAATCAACTCGGTTCTACCAGGCTTCGTTGCATGGGGATTATGGAAGGCTTACAACGAAGAGAAGTATGAGGGGAAAGCTTTCAAAGAAGGGAATATCATTGCAACAACCATGAAGACTATACAACAATGGATATGGATACACAATGGCAAGAAATGGATGCACCTGGATGAAACTTTGAAATCGTTGGGGTTTCGATTGCACTTTAGCAGGAATATTTCTCAATGCTTTGTTGTTTAGTTTTTTTTATTTGGTGGGGCGAATGCATCTCCCACATTGCTGTAAACATTCCTTGCTTTATTTCAATTTAAATTTCGTATTTAATATATATATATATATATTAAATTTTCAAAAATGTTTGAACCACAAGTTCGACCAATGAACCACTAAATCAGTACCTTGACCGGTTCGATCGCCGGTTCGGTTCTGAAAAGTATGAATAAACTATAGGTCATATTCTCAAAATAGGAGTTCAAACTTAAACTCCTCTAAATAGGAGTAAAACATAATTAATAAAACAAAAAAAATACTCCCACACGCACATTTTTTTAAATATGCATGCGAACTAAAAGTAAGGAGCATGATCACTACTGCATGCGACTATTTTTTTGCAATGTTTTTGAGTTTTTCATTTTTTTTATTTTTTATAAAAAGTTAAAATAAAGATTTTAAATTAATTAATAAAACAAAAAATACTCCCCACACGCGTTGCATTTGCGCCCAATACCAGTGGTGGCCAAGTTCAAAACTAAAAAAATTCGGCCAATTTCACAACAGCATGCTACTAACAGCGACGCCCACTGCCGCAATCGTCGCCGACGATGATGCCCACCACCGCCATCGTCGCTGCCACATACCTGCCACTATCACTTGAATCTCCACCACCTCCGTCCTCTGCTCTGCCGTACCGCTACTAACGAAACCTACCATTGACGCCTTTGATTTTTCATCGTCACCATCGATGATATCACTGCTCTATACCATTATCAACAACACTGCCATCACAATCTGCACCATCGTCACCACAGTGGTGCCAAATTAATAGTCAATACTGTGTCAAAGAAAGACATTATAATCTCAAACATGGCACCATGTAATGTCACATATGACATTCTGTAATACCATAGATGCCTATATATAATGCCATATATGCTCATATACAATGTTACAATGTTATACAATGACATAATGTCAAACCAAATCCAATGACACTATAGGTAGATACTTGAAATGTAACAGTCCTCTACAGCTCACTAAAAGCATGCAACGAAAGTTTTACGGGTAGACCAATTAATCTTCCCCGATGCTTCATTTTACCTTTTTTATTATAGCAAAAAAAAACTAATCTTCGGTATCATTTCATATATATACGGATGTGGCCATTGATAATGGTTAAATGTTCCTTTTTAATAAAACAAAGACTGGATGGGCTATTGTAATGATACATAGAAATGCATAGCATGAGTGGCAATCGAATCTACAATGCCAAATACGACAATGCACAATGACAGACATATCACTACATAATGACAAACTTGTTCATGTATAATGTCAAAAAAATAATTCAATTCAATTATTGTAAAATCAAAATTTTATAAGAAGGAATAGAAATCAAGGTGCTCAGTTCGTATCTCTATCTTTTATTAATGTATTTCCTAACATTTTGCAGACCCCCATGAAAAAGAACAATTGGAAGCTCTGATTCATTCTCAATATGTGAAAAAGACCAATTGTTTTGTGTAACAAATTAAAATACACTTAGAATACCAAATAACACTTGCATGAGGGAGTTTGACTTTTCAATATTGACAAAATATACTTGGAAGACGAAGTATATACGGAGTAAATAATAACCCACCATTATTGCATGTGCTGAGTGCTGACTGGAATAGTGTCATGATCGCAAGCAGCAGGGAGGATTTTTTATTACTTAATTAGTTATTCCTATTTAGAGGAGTTTAAATTTATGCTCTTATTTTGAAGATATGATATATGTTTTAGGGGCTGTTTGGCAACTTCTGAATGGGTAAGTGCTGAACCAGTAAGAGGTCTGAACCATTAAGTGCTGAACCATTAAGAGCTAGTATATTGTTTAACTATTCAGAGGTAAATGTCTGATCAATTCAGATAAGAGCTCTTAACCATTCAGACTCTGTATAATACTTAACCATTCAGAGCCAAATCTCTTAACCATTCAGACATCTGAACCATTAAGAGAGTGAAACAAACAGTCTGAACCATTAAGTGCTGAATCATTCAGACATCTGAAGCATTAAGAGGCTGAAACAAACAGCCTCTTACTCCTATTTGAGGGGGTTTTTTTTAAAACAAACCCACGTACTCATTCTCCCAAACAATTATTAAATTCTACATAATCAATCATATATACGTGATTACGAACGTGAATTTTAAATCTATACGAACAATCTAGCGTTAGATGTCCATATACTGACATACTCACTTCGATTATTTGACAGATAAAAAACAAATCAATGAATCAAATTGACGAGGAGGACCTCGAAGATCACAACGGCGGCGTCGCAGTGGTCGGGCTGCCTTCCTGCTCCTTCTCCTCGCGGCTCTATTCTTTCTCCGTTCCTAGCACTCCGTAATTGTTTGCCTTTTTTTTTCCTTTGCTGGTGCGCATTTGGATGTAGTTATAGGGTTGTAGGGAAGGGTTGGATACGGGCAGGATTAAGAAATAGATTTGGGAAATACTCGGTAATATTTTGTACTTCCTCCGTCCACAAATAAACTTCTCGTTTACTATTCACATTGCAAAATTTTATTTACTTTGTTGATCTATTTTCGTCACTCATTTGATAAAATAATATAGTAATGTCATCTCTAGTTTTGTATAGTTTTGTATATCTTTTGATATAGCTATTTATACCCCATGTTTTGTACCCCACTTTGTACCCGTAGCTTTGCACCAACACTTTATGTTGGGGTAAAATAAATTTTTATTAATGCATCAACACTTTGTGTCCGTGTAAATTTTTGTAAACGCACCAACACATGTGTCGGTGTAAACCATCAAAATGTTTGTGTATAACTGCGGTGTACAAATGGGGTATAATTTGTGGTGTAAGTGTAGCATAACCCTTTTAAATTTTACACCATTTTTCATATAAAATGATTTGAAAATAACTTCAGTCAAACATCGTAACGCGCAGCGGAAAATTTATTTGTGGAGGGAAGGAGTATTATTTATTATAAAATCTTTATAGCATGAGGGGTTAGTGGGCTTGGGTTTACGGGGGTAGACTTTAGGAAACGTAGGTTTGGTTTGTTGTTAATATTTTATTATTAAAATTTTTACATTTATTTATTTAACTCTAACTATATTATACTCATTAAGCTTTACACGAAAGCCTAAACTTAACAAATTATATATCGTTAGTTATCATTTTATAAAATCTATCCAAAAATCTAAATTTCAATAAAAAAAAGCTTAACTTTACAAATATCTACCGTATCTTTTAAGGTCAGAAAATAGTATATTTATTTTTTTACTCTTAAGCTAGTTTTCGGGTCGTTACATTTCTTCCCCCCCCCCCCTAAAAAAAATTTCGTCCTCGAAATTCGTTAGTCTAATGTCAACTCAAAAGACATGCAAACAAATTTCATAGATAAGCACATTGGAAACACATGTAAGTCAGCTAATCACAGTCTAATTTATGAAGCATACTAATGGATATCCAGGCCTAATAAACGCGAATGAATGGCCCAATCCACAGGAGCGACTTGGTCCAGTGCGGAACGAGGGCTGCTGAACTAGATAAAAAAAGACCGAGTTTCCGTCAATTGGCCCAAACGTATAATGAAGGTACCGAACAATGTACACCATGATCGGGGTCTGAGAGATAATGACGAGATTTATGCGCACGATGAGTGCCCATTATGTATGTAATTGAAATGTAGTACTCCCTCCGTCCCCCTGTATTAGTCCACTTTCGTTTTTACACACCATCCAATGCACTTCTTTAATCCATTTTATCTTGTAATTTGTATATTTAAAAATTATCAAAATTATATATTAATAATCTATATGTTAAGACAAATCAAACAAGATCACACATGACTATATTTAGGCTTACACATTGAGAGAATTTGATGAGTCAAAGTGCTTAGATGAACAGTTCCAAAAGTCAAATGTGGACAAATACAAGGGGACGGAGGGAGTATAAATTAAATAGAGGGAGAACCCTCCATTATAAAGCAAGTGAAAATGTAATGGCCCAAAAATCCTCTTAGTAGTTAGCCGTTATTTTAATAAAAATAAATAGAATATTTATTTACTTAAAAATATAAATTATTTATAAAGTTATCCGTTTTAAATAAAAATTAGGTTTTCGAGTAGATCTCGTAAAATGGTGACCAACGGTATATAGTTCATCAAACTTGGACATACGTGTAAAGCATGGTGAGTAAAATAGACATAACAGTTCAATAAATAAATATAAAGATTTTATAATAAAATAATAATAAATTAATATAATGCTCCTAATTCTTTCTACCCATAGAAGGATTCCCAAACCCTCCCCAACCACTACTATATACCCCGGAGTATATATACTATTTCCGGTGCCACGCACGGGGTTGAATGCATGTTATTTTTAACTCTGTTTATTTTTTGTTTTAAGTAAATAATTAAAAAATAAAGATAAATATAATATATAATGTTAGATACGACATAAACAGAATATGCTAACTAAAATTCATGTATATAAAAATTGAAAAGAATGTATAAATGTATCAATTAAATCCAAATTTTTTGAAAAACTTCAAGGTAAACCACATTTTTGGTGCAATTGCAAGGGTTACCGTTGCCATGTAAAACTAACACTTTCAATTCTTTCTTAGTTTTCACTCGTGAAACTGCAACATAAAGTTGACTGTGAGTGAATACCGATTTGGTTAAGAATAATCCAACAAATGATAAAGTTTAGCCTTGACATTATTAATTTCTTCCATTTGATAAAGAATAATCCAACAAATGATAAAGAATAATTTTTGGCAGCCACTACACTCATTATTATGCTCCATTATTTTTCCTATGAATTTCTTCCATTTAAGCTTAACCAAATTGGGACCGTAAATTGGGGCTAAAAAGTTTTTACTCATTTAAGCTTAACCAATTCTCTTGCACAATGAAAGGGATCTAGTTATGCATAACAGCAGAAGTATATCCCTATAAGTATTTTAGAAGTAATATGATCACTTTATGAGTTTATGGTAGTTTCATTCCTTTATGTCTTTTTTACATGCCCTCTCTCCCCATTTATCCACATATTTTAGGACCTTTTTTGGAGGATTCAAATATTCAAATAAATAGATGATATGCACAGACTGCTACAAATTAAACTACTCAAACATTTCCTCAAATGCAGTTCTGAAATGTACACACTTTTTTTTCAAACAATCAAAGAAGATGTTGCAGCTGCTAGCAAAATGCATAACAAAAACTAGGGTCTGAGTGCAAAAAAACACACAGAGTGATAGAGCAGATCTTAAAAAATGCTCCCCTCAAAGTTTTTTTTAAAAATACAGAGTGCAACACGAGTGACTAATTGATTTGTCAAAAAAATAAAAAAATAAAGAAAAAAATATATTGAAGGGAAAAAAACAAGTCTGGAACTTGGAAGTATAAACAGAGGACCATAATATAGACTGAAATTCTAATATAGACTGGATTTCTCAAGCCAGAGGATCATATTCATACAAAAAATTACTACCGAGTACTACATAATAAAAAAGAAATTCATTATAGTTCATTGGGGATAGAGAAGATCTTACTGTGAAGGCTTGAGGACGATGGAGGGAAGTTGGAGAAGAGAAAAACCTGCATCCACGGAGGAGGAGATCAAGAAATTTGCCGAAGAAGAGAAGAGCGGTAGGAGGAGACCTAGAAGATGATGCGGAAGAAGAGGCTTTTGATTCCACGCAAAATCCCTGGCCCTTTGTTTGTATTTGAACTTTTTTATTTATATTTCATATTAAGAATCCACCACAATCCATTTTTTATAACAATCCTTGAAAATTTATTATTTTTTCAATATCATTAGATTTAGAAAGATTTTTTAAAATCTCAATTGAATACTTCAAAATTTTAAATGATTTTTTAAAATCCCAATTGAATACCTATTGACTTTTAAAATCCAAAAAAATCCTACAAAGTCTGGATTGAATACACCTTCTGAAGTATATGTTAGTTTTTGATTTTTATTTTTAAAAACTAAAAAATTAGTTTCCAATATGAAAAATAAGAGAAAAAAAGAAAAACAATTAAGAAAAAAGTGTGGGGGTGTTGGTTTCCATTTCTAAAACCATAGTAGTGACAAAGCTATTCACCTAAGATTTGAAAGTTATTTTTGTTTTGGTGCATAAATGACAGTAGGATGAGAGGTAACAACATAAGTTTTGAGACCATGTAAAACCACAGAAAATATTGGTGGAATAAACTTATACTACGTAAAAACTTTAGAAAAAACTAGAAATATATTAAATTTGTACCCCAGCTTACACATCAAATGTATCACATATACATACAAACAATAATTATATATGTACTGCATAATCTGCATTGATAATTAGCGTGTGTATATGTTTACGATAAGTGAAATTTGCACTAAATAGGAATAAAACATAAGTCATTTCCTAATGTAGAACTTAAACTTTTTTATTCCCTAAATAGGACTAAATAATGACTAGTGAGAAGAATAATGTCCAAGTGATGCTGGACATTTAGTTGAATAATGACTAACTCATAATGACCAAAAATCCTACATTGAGAAATAAAAACATATAGTTCTATATTGGGAAAGTCATTATGTTTTAGTCCTATTTAGGTAAATTTCTCTTATCATAACCCAAAAAATTAAGTTCCTCTCATTATGAACACAACACATCCACTTTTTTCTTTTTTCTTTTTTTGAAATGGTTGGCGTTATCAATGGATGATTGGATAGATTAAGATTATTAGTTGAATACTTACAGATCTTCTCCCAATGGGAAATGGCCGAATCGTCGCACTCTCCATCACAGTCTGCGTGGTCTCCTTCGTGATCTCGAAGATTGTGATTGCGGTCCTCTGCTATCGCCGATGGAGGAGAAAACACATGGCGGAGATCCGCCACTGTTTGTCAGATATGGCGGCCGGCGGCGGGAAGCTATTGTTGTTCAGAACGGCGAAGACGAAGGCATTAAAGTCTGAGGCGGTAGTGAATAGGGTGATGAAGCTGGGAAGCAAAGACGTTATCGGATCTGGAGGTTTTGGGACAGTTTACAAGGTGGTGATGGAGGAAGAAGGCGTGAGTTTCGCCATTAAAAGGCTGAACAGGATTAGCGCGGAGGAGGACAGGGGGTTTGAGAGGGAACTGGATGCCATGGCTGATATCAAACACAGGAACATTGTCACACTCCATGGATACTATTCTTCCCCTCACTATAACCTTCTCATCTATGAGCTCATGCCTAATGGGAGCTTGGATAAAATGCTTCATGGTATGTCAGACATCATTTACTTAGCAATTGATCTGTGTTTTATGAACAAGGATAGAAATAATATACTCCGTATAAATTTTTCTGTAAGACTAAAATATTTCTGTGTTCCAATTTATGTCCATTCCAATTTATGGCCATTTCCTTTGCTATAAATATCAGCATATTGATCTTTTAGCATCAGTTACTCTTCTTTTAAGGCATTGTTTTTATCTTCTTATTAGGCATGGACTGTACTATTATACTTGTTAAAAACCCTGGATGGAACCCAAACCTTAGTAATGTGTAACAATGGAAACCTTCCCTTTACTAATTATCTCCAAAAATTCAATGATGATGTTGCAGATAAAAGTCCAATCAAGAAGGTTTTGGACTGGGAATCAAGATTGAGAATTGCTGTGGGAGCTGCAAGGGGATTATCATATCTGCATCATGATTGCATTCCTCACATAATCCACCGTGACATCAAGTCCAGCAACATATTGCTGGACCAGAACATGGAGGCTCAAGTCTCTGATTTCGGACTTGCCACTCTTATGGAACCAAACAAGACTCATGTTTCAACTCTGGTTGCTGGAACCTTTGGCTACTTGCCTCCTGGTACTTAAAAATCATATATAAATAAATACCTAATCCGAATTGGTTCTCATAATTTTCATACAGACTTGGTTGTTTGCAGAGTACTTTGAAACCGGAAAAGCGACTGTGAAAGGAGACATTTACAGCTTCGGAGTGGTCCTTCTAGAGCTTATAACGGGAAGAAGGCCGACAGATGAAGCATTTGTGGAAGCAGGAACCAAGCTAGTGGGCTGGGTTAAGGCTGTTATTGCAGACAAGAGGGAAGAGTATGTAGTTGACCACAACTTGGCTGAGTGCCGAACAGGTGAGATAACCCAATTTTTTAATGTTGCAATGATGTGCCTCGAGTATGAGCCATCCAAGAGACCTACCATGGCTGAGGTTGTCAAGATGCTTGAACAAATAAAGCTTGATGGTTTGGTATGAGTTATTGATTTCAAAAGGTGCATGTACAAGGAGTAACAGTGCATACTGAATTCATTTACATTGGTTGGAATTTGAGAGAGAAAGGAAAAGAAAATGAGAAGAAAAATGTTTTTCTAGTTTGGTTAGAGAGGAAAAAAAAGAAAAGTAGAAGGAAAAAAAGAGAAGACAAAATGTACTAAGAGGATGGAAAACTAAATTCCTCCTATTTTGGTGAGGGAATTGAGGGAAAATCATTCTATTTCCTTTCCCTTTCAAATTCCTTGAACCAAACATACTGTTAGGGTCTCTTTTTCTTAGATTATGGAACCTGAACACTACATGGTTTGGTAATCAAGATTTTTTCAGAAAATTTCAGGATCGGTTCTGTACTTGCACACCCCTATGCATTTTAACTTCTATTTCAGAGATAAAAACACGGAACTCTTGTTTTCGTATATTGCCTATGTTTTACTTTTACTTTAGTTTTTTCCCAAGGTCTTTTATCGGAAGAGGGGGGAACCTTTCCATCCCTTCTCATTCCCTCCCATTCATCTTCTTTGTTTGTAAAATTGATAGTTCCTAACTCGTAACCCCCTAAGCCTCCCGAGCTCCCACCCTAGCCCCCTCCCCCCCTCATCTTCGATCGACAATTAATAGCACTTTTACTGCTGCCGATCGGTGATCCAATAGGAGAGAGGGAGTTAGAGCATTTACATTGGGGCGGAATCTCGCCTGCCTTGCCTCATTGCCTGCCAGCATTCTACTCATTTTCAGTCCTGCCCCAAAACACCTACAATGTTATTGCCTTCCCACCTGCCTCTCTATTTCTTTTGTAATATTCATCATTTTTAATTCAAAACATATATAAATTTAATAAAAATATTTTTTTATAATTAAAAATAGAATAATTATTAAAAAAGAAAAAATAGATTGTAAAAATTTAAAAATATAAAAAATATAGATTGTCCAACACCGGGTTTGCAGGAGGGGTGGCATACTAGGACCCATGATCTTGGCCTTCCCCTTCACCTTCTTTGCCTCCTTCGTCTCGATCGGACGACTCGGCTGTCTAGTTCCTTGCCCGATCCAAGGGGGAGTCGTCCCCCATGGCTTTGAGGTCGATGGAATGCCTGCCCCCGCTCATCGAGTACGAACTAGTCTCGGATAGTTTGGATCACTTCGGTCACGATCCTCTTATGTTTGCCTCGATGCTGAATTTGGGGCTCTTCTACAAATTTTTCCAGATTTCTTGAAACTTGAAAATCTTCTTCTCCGCTTCATAATAAAAGGTCTAACGTTTTCGAGATAACTAGTATTTTGACTTGTGCCATGCACGGGATTGAACAAAATTGTTTGCGATTATGTAATTTAGAGTATTAAAATGTCATGACTATTTTATGTCAATATGTAAATACAATTATGTCTTTACTTATAACTAATCATGAGTAAGCCTTAGATGAGTTCGTCAAGTTGACAAAAAAATATAAAATGGAATTTTATTATTAGGACGAATCATTAGGTAGGAGTATTTAAAATTATTTATTGATGTATAACAAAACGTAATAGAAAAGTGATGATCTAGTTGACTATAAGAATACCATATTACACTTAGTTCTATCCTAGAATCAAATATCGTCATTATTTTTTAGATCACATACAATCTTTTGTGAAGATAGTAAATTCTAAATTCGTGGGTTATACTGTTTTTTTCAATTGTACATACAACACATGAATAGTCCAAATAAGCGTAGTTATTTTACTTCTTGTAATGGAACACATGTAAGACTAAATTGTTTAGTGCAAAAAAAGGTAAAGAATTGTTAAGTATAAATAGTAACCATCTTACCGCATGCTACTTCCAATTAAAAACAAAAAAAATGTTTCTTTACCATAGAACAATTGTAAATAAAATTAGGAATATTAAAACATAATATTTCCATAAGATATTAAAACAAATGACTTTTATGCTGAAGCAAAATTATTGAGGACGTAATGCAGATTGTAACTTTAAGAATATGTCAAGCTTTAACATTAACAAAAAAAAGAGAGAAAAGTCAATTGGTCAAAATTGTCGGAATCATATGCTATATGTAGGTTGTAAGTAATTTATAATTTATGATTTGGTGGCAATTATATATAGTCACGAGACAACATTACATTTTTTTATATTAAAAAATGCTAGGTAAAGGCTGAGAGTAACATTTGAAGAAGTTAGATCAATATTTTTGATATGAATAGGTTAATGAGGAATTTACCTAAATAGAACTTAAACATAATGACTTTTTAAATATATGACTATATATTTTTATTTTCTAATGTAGAACCATTGGTCATTATCCATTAGTCATTATTCAAGTAATGTCCACCATCACTGGACATTATTCCTCCCACTAGACATTATTAAGTACTATTTAGAGATTAAAAAAATTTTAGTCCTACATTAGGAAATGACTTATATTTTAATCCTATTTAGTGCAAATTTTATAATGTCCATTTAGTGACAAACTTATTTGAAGAAAAGAAACACACTCTATAAAAAGAGGGAATTAATTACATTCCACGGGAGTATAGTGCGTAATAAAATTTATTTTGAAACTTCAATCACATTAGAAGGACATTGGACAAAACAGAGAGGTTGTACAATTTCATAGCAGATTGTTTGCTTAGCATGAAATTGTCAAGGTGTTTTCACGAACTTTTGTTTAAAAAAAAAAGAAACCAGATCACTCAATTTTGGTTAGATTTAATAAGAGTCGAGATCAAACTTGAACCGAAATTGTTAAATTCATTATGATTTCACATCTACATTGAAGAGATTATTGAGTTGAGTGGGTATTATTGTTATGTTCCTAAGTACTCCCTCCGTCCCATTTTATAATGCTTGTTTCGGTTTACGATGTTTGACTGAAGTTATTTTCAAATCATTTTATATGACAAATGGTATAGAATTAAAAAATAAAAATTACATATCAAAATACTACATCAAAAGATCTACAAAACTAGTAGTGACAACAATATTTTATTTTATCAATTTGCTAACGAAAATAGAGAAAGAAAGTGAATGAAGTTTGACCCTGTGAAAAGTGAACAGGCATTATAATTTGGGACGGAGGGAGTATGTTTTTTTTTAAATTGATATTGTGAATTTTGTCCATTTACAGAGTTGCTGACTTGATTGTGAATTTAGTCCATTTAGTGAATTTAGTCAATTTTGGCATGGGTTTACTATGGAGATGAACTTTGGTATTAATGATTTTGATTATTGATGGGTGTATTCACCTAGAACCGGTTAAAGGGAAGCTTTCCAATACTTGACCGGTCAACGTTAAATTTCTGGGATGGGAAGACGGAATGACACTGGGAATGTATTGGTCAACAATAAAATTTGACTGGTATACTTCGAATAGTCTACCGATCAGATTACTCGACATACACCGATGATCCCCAATTTCAATAAACCCATCCCTTGGGAATTTACCCGGTAGAACATCTAGGGTCGGAAAGTGTCGGCAATGAAGAATCCAAAGGAAATTGGACTGTAGCGATCAAATTCAACGGATAATCATTGGAGATACTCAGGCAATCCATCCAAGACACTACATGACAAGGAAGTCACCTTCCTAACTAGATCACAAGGTCACTAAAAGATAGAGACAATCATTTCGCACCACCTAGAGACATGCCCTGACGTGGATGTGCGGCGCCTTGTCTCCTCTAGCTTACTATAAATACCTGTGTAACCCTCAAAGAAAGAGATCCGATTTCTTCTCACTAAAACTCTTGTGTAAAATCAGTAAATCACCCTTGCATTCTATTATATTCGAATATTAATTAGGCTATAGGTGTTTCCACCTACAATCCTCCTGGTTACTTTGTGTGTTTTTACCTTTTTACTATCTCGAATCCAATAAACAATCCTAGACACGGTCTAGAACTGTTTACCCGGTTAAGGTAATTTACATCATCAATTATACATAACAAAAAACATTTTTCTTAGTCGGCCACTAGTTATTGTTGAGGTCAAAATGAACAAACTTAAATTGTAATCTATACACCTCCAAATTAAATACTCCCTCCGTTCAGAAATGACGTTTCCATTGTACCTTTTTTCCGTCCGAAAATGGTATTCCCATTTTACTTTTAAATCTCAAATCTCCCTAAAATACCCCTCTCATTTAATATCCTGATATTCACTCTTCATATCTACC